AAAAAAAAAAATAAAGTGGAAAATACAAACAAACAACAAATAAATAAAATAAATGGAATAAAAAAAATTTTAAAGTCAATAAAAATTGTTTCATACGTCGAAGTGATATTTCAAAATTTCAATACATCATTCATGATCAGCCACAACAACTTGAACCGCAATCTAAAATTTCAATTTGTCATATAAAGAACAAAATTGTTTATTTCTAAAGGTCTTTAAGCGGCGCAGACATCGTTTAAGGCCACCTATTCTAAATATAGTGTGTCTCAGCTACATTACTCTACCAAAATTTTATTCTTACACTATATAATAAATTATTTGAAATTGTTTTTTGAACTTTTAAAATTGATGTACGGAATTTGTACGTTATGTATTAGATACTTATAAATTTTTTTTTTTGTTTTGCCTCCAATAGGCAGTAGTAGCTTTTGAGTAACCATCATATACCGATACCGATCGATAGCGCTGATGTTGAAACTTGTCCCGTTGAGCTTGTAAAAATTTTCCAAATTCGAGTTCTAGAAAAAATAACCTCTGATCTTGAATTCAGAATTCTCTATAGTTCCAGCGGTTTGGTATTATGTATATGATATCATGTATATCTTTGCACTTTTTAAGTTGCTCCCGTCGGCAGTTTTTATATTTAGCTAAACTTTGATGAAATTGGATGACCTAAGTATGAAAGTGATCAGCGCTGATGTAATTCAACTATGAATATTTGTCATTCTGTTAACAAAGCTTCACTTTTTACTGTTGTAAGTGAAGAGAGCAATTATTATGATCAGTTTCTGACCAAAAAACTATCACACCCAAAGCATTTTTAATTTTGTTCATAGGCGCATATAACTACATACATAGGCGTAAGCAGATAGCACGCAAGCCACTTGAAAAAAGTATTTGTATATTCTACTCATTATCAAATAAATATCTGTTTGAATTAAAAATGTCGAGTGAAGAGTCGATGGTGTTACCACACCACCAACATACATATATATAGATATATACGTACATACATATACGCACTAGTTAGTCCAGTGGCTCGCATTGATTTGCATGATTAAACAGTTTCCAGCAAACATTAAAAGCCACTTATTTATAAACGCACATTCACATACACACATAAGGTTAGGTATGTAAAACTGTGTGTACTTGAAATAGCGTGGGAAATGGGTGATTATGAGTCAAGCGTCTAATGGAAACTTGTTTCCCCACGCGCAACTGCAACGCGCTAACGCCGCCGCCTAATTGCTAATCAAGTATGCTGGCGCACAAGTAGCCAGCCACTTAGCGGTTTGATTACTGGTATCGTCGAGATTGTCACAGCGGCTAAGTATTTCCGAAGACCAACAAAGCACACTCATCACTGTGGCGCGCTTTGAACAGGAAGTCGGTGATTATTATAGATACTAGGCCATAGATTAGAAACGCAAGCAAATATTTACATATTCACAAAGCAACACACCAACAACACATGTATACAACTCACCATTTATATAATTTGTATTTACGTGGTATTTCCGTTTTCCGCTACTTGCAGTTATACGAAGCCGCAGTCGTTCGAAGATTGTGTCGGCGATGAGCTGCCCCATGGCTGGGAGGAAGCCTACGATCCACATATAGGACGCTACTACATCAATCACATAGAGCAGTCGACACAGCTGGAGGATCCGCGCCAGGAATGGAAGAGCGTGCAAGAGCAAATGCTAAGCGATTACCTGTCCGCCGCACAAGATCAATTGGAGAACAAGCGTGAACTGTATGACATTAAGAAGCAGCGTTTGCAGATAGCGCAGGAAGAGTATAATCAGCTGAATAAATTAGCGACCAGCAGAAGTAGTTGTAAGTGTCTTTAGTGTAGTACAAATGTAATCCAATTTACTAATTAATTTGCTAACAACAACTTGTTTTATTGCAGTGTGTTCCTCTTCGAGCTCAATGAGTCGACACGATCCCGATTTGTTGCGCGCCGAAGTCGCCTCATCGTGGGAGCGTGTACGTCTGCTGCGACAGGAACTGAAGCACATCACACACGATATTACGCACACGCAACGCGGCATGAATACGCTGTACTCGGTGGGCGAGAAGATCAACGCACGTCAGAATGGATGCTATGACATAGCCGAAGTGCAGGCCATACGCGAGGAGATGCTTAAGGTGCACAAGTCGCTGGTGTCGGGTGAGAAGGTGCGCGAAGAGCTGATGCGCAGTTTGGTGGAGATTAAGAATGAGCTGAGTCGCCAACAGATCAACGATGAGAATGCCGAGCTGATGAATGCCGCCTCACCGTTTGATCGCGTTTGCGTCGCTTCACAGACAGATTTGTGTGGCGCCGGCGATATGAATAGCGGCGCACGTTTTGCCGAGATGGCCAAGACGAAATTGCAGTACTCCGAATGGCGTAAACATATAAAGAAATTGCAACAGCAATTAGTGGATCATGTGGAACGTATCGACCCCGGCCAGTTGGAATCTGATAAGGATCGCATTTTGTTGATACAGGAGAAGGAGAAACTACTCACCGATTTGAATAGCATTTCGATGGAGTCGCGTCCACACGAAGAGGTGCACGTCATACAGCAAACACGCCGCAAACTTGAGGAAGATCTGAAAGAGGCGTATGAGGCTACAAATCAATGCATAGCGAAACGTTTACGTTTCCACGAAGAAAAGCAGTTGCTGGTTGGTGAGCTGCAGGAAGCGCTCAAATCTACAAAGAAACTAGAGGAACGTCTCAAGTCATTCTCCTCGGAGAGCACATTCTCCATTAGCAGTGGTTCTAGTCTGGGTTCATTGTCGACGGCGAGCAGCAAGAGCGCGCTCAGCTTCACCGACATCTACATCGATCCATTTGCTGTGGATTCACAAATTGATGTGATCGACTTGCAGCGTCGCTCACAGCGTTTTTACCAACAGCAACAACTGCAAGCCGCACAGGCGCAGTTACAGCTACAACAACAACATCAGCAACAACAGCACCAGCCACAAATGCATACGGTTACGCATGCGCATCCACAGCTACAACAGCAGCCCTCTTCGGAGTTGTCGCTGTCGCCGCGTAGCAGTCTCTCTATGGAAACACCACCCGCCTCGCCTATGAAATACAGTGCCGATCAAGTAGCGATCAGCAGCCAGCGGCTCAAGGAAGAGCCAACCTATGCCAACACACCTGCAGGCGCCGCTTTGCCGCCACTCTATCAGCCAAATCCAGCATTGGCTGCCGCAATGACACGTACGCATGCACAGGACTTGGACTCAACACTGCTGGATTGTATGGTGTTGGAGGCCAAACTGCAGAAACTTAACTTATCCGCACCACTGAACCTGCCCGCTGCGCCGTTGTCGCCAATTTCCGAAAAGCCATCATTGCTGGATCTGCCGCAAGAGATGCTCAGCCGTTCGTCATCGTCCTCGAATACACGTTCCGTTTCGGCGGCAGTAAGCAATGAATCAGTCGCTGGCGACTCTGGCGTTTTTGAAGCTTCGCGCGCACATTTCCCGCGCAAGGAGCTGGCACAAGTGCAGATCGGACTGAAATATCTTAAGGATAAGGGTCTACTAGTCGTATCGCTGGAACGTGCGAACAATCTCTCAGCGCTGTGGACTGCGACCGCGGACAATTCACAAGTGTAAGCTTACTTTACAAATATTATGACAATTATCATTTCACAGATATTCTTTTACTATAACAGTTATTTACGCGCCGCTTTGTTGCCCAACTCGCTTACTTCGATTCGCACAAAACCCATGTCGGACTTCCAAAAACCGGTCTTCAGTGACACCTTTGCCGTGCCCATAACGCTCAGCAAACTGCAGACGAAGAGCTTGCAGGTGACTGTGGTCAGCATGACCGGCCAGAAAGAGGAGATTATCGTAAGTTATCAGGCTGCGCGCACAAATAACTGTTCTTGAATAACTATTTCTATGTTTTCTATAAACAGGGCACCGTACAGATCAGCATGGCTGAATTTAATGCAGACGACTCCACACTCAAGTGGTACAATGTGCTCAGCTCTAAATTTATGCCGACATTTGAGCCAGTAGATATGCCTTCAACGAGTGCGGCCGCCGCTGCCGCAGCCGCTACTTCTTCGGCTGCAGCGCAACATACGTCCGCAGCCAATGCTGCCGCCACAAATGCACCAAATGTCGCCAAGGAAGAGTCGTCCGATGAATCGACAATTACCTCGTCACAAACCTCAACGCTGACACGCAACCAAGTGCCGCCCTTCGAGATGCAAGCCCAAATCACTGAGGAAATCGAACAACTGAGTGTAAACGACGAGGATGATGAAGATGAGGAGGATGATGATGAGGACGACGATGATGACAATGAGTTAGAGGAACTGACAGCGGGTAAGTTCGAACGAAAGGAAGATAAAACCTGCAGACTTGTACTCATTTTACTGTTTTTTCGCACATTGGCAGACTTCACAAAGAAAATGCTGGAGGCCTACAATTGCATCGATCTGATTAAGCAAGAATATGCGGACAAGGAAACAAACACAGAGTGCGCGTTTGCACCCGAAAAATTACGTGCTTCACAACAGCAACAGCAAATGGCCGACGATAGGCCGGTAAAGCGTTCGCAGACATTCACGCCCTCGGCAGCAGTCAATAAGAACCGTTACATCTGCCGACTCAATCGCTCCGACTCGGATTCGGCCATGCATTTCGGCGTGACGCCGCATCCCTTCCATCGCGGTGCTGTCGAGCGACGTTCGCTACGCTTCCACACCAAAGCGCCAAAGCAAGTGACGAGTAAGTGGAACAACGAAAGTTCTTCAAATTGCAGCTCAGTATACTTAATAATATGTATATTTCTATTGTAGAACTTCGTCATACACATATACCAAGAACCAGCTTGGACTTGGAGCTCGATCTGCAAGCGCAGCATAGCAAATTAGATTTCCTAAACGATCAAATTGCCAAATTACAGAACTTGAAGCAAGTGTAAGTAAAAGTTAACGTCGGTGACAGCGCATGACAGTGTACTAAATGTATTATTTCTTTCACTACTTTAGACTGGAGAAGGGTCGTGATAATCGCGATCCCCTAATTGCCGCCTGGGCTATTGAGAACGAGGAGTTCCAACGCTTGGTCGAGCGTGCTGATCCGGCCAAATGCCCTGAGGAGAAGCAACTGCATAAGCTTTTGATGAAAACTGCCAAAGAAATTCATAAGCTGCGCAAAACCAAGGTGCCGAAGGGATCACCCGATTTGTTGTCGTTCAAGTGAGTAAAAAATTTCTTCTATACTTTTAATCGCTTTTACAAAATTAGCAGGGCCTTTGGACAAAATACTCAACTGCAATATATATATTCTTCTTTTCGCAGAGAAAAAATGACCTTCTTCACACGCAAGGGCCTACCAGTGCCCGACTTACCAGATCGTGCCGACTTCGTTTTGCCCGATGCCGATCTGATCGAAGAGGAAGACGAAGAGGAGGACGACGAGGAGGACAAGGCACGCGAAACAGCGATCGCCATCAATACAGCGCTCGTGGCCAGCAATAATCGAAATAAGAATCTCAGTGAGAATCATTTGGGCATCGCCGTCAGTCGTCGCGAATTGAACGCGGCCAAGAGCACAGCAGCTGCTGCCGCAGCAGCAGCAGCAACGGCAGCGGCAAAAGTAAACGCCGCCAATGCGGATATCTCAACGCCGAGCACAAGTGCCGCGGCAGCGGAGACGCTCGCGAATAGCAACAACAGCAACGGCGCCAATGGCGAGCAGCAAGACGAGCGCTATGACTACGTGGTCGACCGCAATTACGGTGTGGAAGTTTGAAGCCACACAGCATTGCTTAACTGTATATTTTGTAGTTGTATATATAATTTTCGTTTTTTGCATTAGTTCTTCATTTATACATATTTATGCATTGTACATTGAACATCCGCTACAGGATAACACATAACCAAGAGAAACAAATATTGTGCCTTACTCGTAGTTTTATCAAGGTCTAGAAGGTATCACGAAGAGGTTATGATATCTTTTAGCTTTTTTATTTTAGTTGTTAAATTAATATGGTGTACAAAATTGAGTATTTGCTTAATTGCAAAGGAAAATAGATATAATATAATGTTATGAATATAGTTTTAAGTCGCCGAAAAAGCGCTCGGCGGGCACGCGCATGCTGACGTTTATGTTAAAATTGTATAAAAATTTGTTTAGAAATTGAATTTGAACCTGAAAGGCTTATCACACACCCAAGACTTTACCGATTGCATTGTAACCAAGCTATAATAGTTTTTTCGACAGACCAGCGAAAATAGCGAAAATAGCAAAAACAAACAAAAACACCCAAATTAGACGCTAGATGTCGTAGCGTTCATAGCTGTAATTAAATTTCGTTTTATTTTCGTTAAAATCATAACTAAATGTAAAGTAGTTAAGCAGCAGCTCTTGTATATGCGACAAAAGCGAAAAATTTATCGCATGCGATTTATTTTGCCAAAACATTTACATTATTTCTTATTTATTTAATTTTTTTATACATTATTATATTTTAATATATTGGAAGGCTTGCGTTTTTGTTGAGCTCGATTTTATAATGTTTTGTTGTAATTTATATTGAATGATGGCAATCCACATAAATATTATTAGTAGTTACTAAAAAAAATATTACATAATGAAATATGATTTACATACATATAAATATTTATACAAAATTTCGCTACTTATTTGAAGCGCATGTATATTTATATAAACACAACTTGTGCGGAATTGACTTCACTTGAAAACTCAAAACTGCAAAACAGTTAGAATCTGTATAGAAGAAAGCGAGAAACATATTTTTACTGTTAAGTCTGCCAGAATTAATTTGAGGCAATTTGAGTTCGCAAGCAAACAAGCAAAGGCGCAAATATTTTTTTGTTGTAGTTATAGATAATAATTTTTTTAAGAAGCAGTAGTGTGCATAAATAATAACTGTAAATATAAGTGTGTAAAAAGCAAATGAAATGCGCATCAAGTGAGCTGCAACGCATACCAACAAATATATACATAAATGTATGTATGCCCGCATGGGACTGTTAAACATTTTTGAAAAATTTCAACGTTCTGTTAGTCAAATATGCAATGATTTCCAAATCGTGTTTTATTGCTGCGCCGAGCGGTTGTGTTTGGTTTGCTCTTTGCTTGTTTTGAGTTTGCGATTTATTTCTTTGAATATTTTTGTGAAATTGTCAAACTAGTTTAAGTGTAATGTATGTATAAAAGTTGCATTGTAATTTATTATTTAATTTTTTGATGAACCTTATGTTTGTGTTTGAGTGTTGAATCGTTTCGACTTGCAGAATATTTACCAATGTATAGTATGTATATTGTTTGATTCATATGCTATTTTATCCATAGTGGGTTAATATAATATTGTAAGTGAAAATGTATGTATGTTTGTAATTAGCGAATGAAAATCAAAAAACAAAAAAACAAAAAAAGAAAAAAACAACAAAAGTAATATTAACAATTAAAAAATTAAAAAAATATGTGACTAATATATATGTATATGTATATTCATATAATGGGAGTGCTTTGTAAAGTGTTAAGTGCTAACGGCACTTTATGTTCATAACTAAATTTAGTTTAATCGTAAACTGTAATTCTAACTAATTCTATTAAATTCTCTCATTTATTAGATTAACTACCCACAAATTACTACTCAAATAATTAAACAACAAAAATAAACAAATTTAGTAATGTACATTGTACGAGTATTTGTGCAATAAACCGAAATGAAATTGAAAAAAATCAAAATAAAAATTAAAATGCAGTTCGTTTTATTTCCGTCTTTACGAAACCGTAAAATAAACATCGGGTGATCCAAGTAGAGGTACTTTTTTCAATAGCGTAATTTTGATAGGTCACGCGTGAATCGTGTCAAGATATCATTATTTTTTTATTCGCCATTGCTTAACATTTCATCATGGAAAGACCTACGCCTGAATAATGTTCATAAATCGTTCAAATTTATTACGAAATTTTCCGTTCTGTAAAAATTATTTTCGCGCCTTCGCTCAACTTATGGTCAACATAATCGGTCTACTGAGCACAATATTCCCAACATCATCCCCATCTTGAAACGCAGCATTCAATATTCGATAATATCCGACCAAATAAACCACGTCCAGCAGGCAATGAAGAAAATTTAGCAGCTATAGCCGAGAGTGAACACGAAGACCGTGGAGACTCGATTCATCGTCGTTCGCAGCTACTCGGACTGACGTATCGAACGACTTGCCGCCATCTCCCACATATGACATTAATCGATGGATTAATTGAGAAAAGACTTCGGTAGTTGATTTCATTTAGGGGGCCGGTCGATGCGCTACTAAGATCGCTTGATATCACAACGTTAGACTTTTCCATTTTCATATTACTAATATGTAAATTCTAAAGTCTATGCTTCCATTGAGCAAAACATCACGCATGTCATAGGCCAGTTACAAGTCGAAATGTTCGAACGAGTCATCGAAAATTGGGGTAAACGGATGGACCATCTGAGACGTAGCCGCGGCCAATATTTGAAAGAGATAATCTGCAAAAACTAAAAACCAAATAATATTCTTTCGAATGATAATAAACATTTCTTAAATTTGAAGTTTCTATTTGGTTCTTTAAAAAAGTAGAGAATCTCGCAAATACAAAAAAAAAAAAAAAAAAAAAAAAAAACAAAAAAAAAAAAAAAAAAAAAAAAAAAAAAAAAAAAAAAAAAAAAAAAAAAAAAAAGAGCAATGCAGTACAGCAATTGATTTCAAATCTAGCATCAATTATATATTTGAGCCTGTGTACAATCGGTTTGGGAGTTATAACATCTTTAGTGACACACCTATTTATGTCTTTTCGATCATAGCAAAGGATCATCTGAATTGTGTGTCTGATGAACCAACAGCTTGCAGCGAATAGCCTAAAAAAGTTAATTACGTCAGCTACCCTCAAAAGAGGGCTAATTAATAGTTGAGGGTGCTGCGAAAGCTTCAAATTCGACAGATTTTCCATTTCACAAACCAAAGAAAAAAATGCTGAAATTTCACGAATATACTACGAATTTATTTCAAATCAACAAATCTTCGGTTCGGTAAAGAATTACTCCTGCAACCAGTTATAAAGATTTCCGAACTTCGGGAGGACTTTGTAGCGCATATATTGGCCAATATGTGAGTTATCTCAATGAAAAGGAGAGAATGTGTTTACTCGTAAGTGTTGATAATAATAATAGATAAATTTGAGCAAAAACTGGGTAAATCAAGTTTCATGACATTGCGAAAAATTTATAAAATCGAGATATTACCCCAACTGCCGTATACCATATGTGTCTGTCAGTCTATGAGTTTTATTGCTAGGTTTTCGATGCTCCGGTTGAAGTTTTACACCTTAAAATATTTCACTGGCTTTGATTTTTGCAAGTTGTAAGAGTACAAAATGTTCGGTTGCACCCGAAGTTAGCCATTCGCTACTTGTTGTAATTATAATAATATTTCGTGACATCATGAATGAATGAAAGAAAAGTGAGGCTTTGTTGACAGGTAGTATGCACATTTTTGGTGTAAAAGCTTTATCATGTCTTTGGTTAACCGAAGTCGATTTTCAAGGGAATTCAAATTGACATTATTGTCCCCAGCGTACTTCGGATTACTTACAGGTAGCTTTCGATTAAAGCTTTAGCCATACATGTCGGTATCATGGTTTAATGTAAATTGAATTTTGTGATGGTGTTTTATGCTTCTATGAACTCAAATTAAAAAATCAAATATTGGTTGCTTCTTTTTCAGTTACAGTTTGGTTGCATTACGTTACGTATGTTAGTACGTTAATAAACAAAACTGTCGTATTTGGAATGATGATTATCCTCAAGCTACTGTTAAGACGCCGTTAAACTCATAAAAAATTACAGTGTGGTGTGCTCTATGAGCAAAAGGAATCGTAGGACAATATTTCTTTAAAAAAGAAGCCTGCCATAATGTGACAGGCAGTGGAGAACGCCTTACAGATATAATTAGTGACTATTTCGTGCATGAAATGGAGAATGTTTATTTATGTTAAACTGTTTGTCTTCTTAGATAAGCCCGAGGGGATAGACTACTGGGATCAGAAAACTCGGCGAGTGATTGCTGACATGGAGCCGCAAAAAGTGGTCGAAAATTGCGTTTCTCGCGCCGGTCACTTGCTCAATATCATTTTTGAGACACAATGGCGAATTCTTGTCGCAATAATAAAACTTAAATTTATGCTTTTTTAATTCTTGAAAGCCACTTGTCTAAAAAACACCTTTTATGAAGAACATGTAAACACGTTAGCCTTAGCTGCACCGAACGATTTTGATCGTTCACCACAAGGCATCTATGTATGTGCTATAGTAGTTCGACATTGGCGATTGTCGACAAATAAACCCTTTCTTGAGAGAAATTTCAAATTTCTCAAACTCAGACATCAGACGGACAAACGAACATAACTCAATCGACTTTGCACTTTCGCTGACCATACAATATACATATACATACTTTGTAGGGTCTCCGACGCTTTCTTCTGGGTGTTACAACCAAAGTAGCAAAATTAATATACAAACTTTAGTACTGCAACGTTGTAATAGAAATGAAAACATTCCTCTACCATCCTCGTTATCATTCTGTTAAACTTCTTATATGGTATATGGTAAACTACGCAAATCGAAAAACTCGTATGATTCGTATTTTTATGAGAAAAATCCAATAGAATTTAGTATATGTTTTCATTAGGCCTGGTTCGTGAGTTAAAACTTCTTGAGTAACATACTATGCATATTGTCAAAAATTTCAGATATTAATTTTGGTTTGTACCGCCCGCTATTTCAACAATACTTATTAATAAATTTGAGTCGCAAAAAAAAAAATGTTATTGTTTTTAATGTTTATTTACAAGGTTTGTATCAAAAGAGTGCTAAAAAATTCCGAAAACGAGTGAAGATCACAAGCAAGGTAAAACACATAGATCCCATTCGTCTTCAGCATCCAGAAATAATTTATGAGATGGAACTTCAGTCAGAACGAGTCACTGTGTGATGCACAGTTTCATCAAGGTGTATTGTCTGGGTATCGACTGGCTATCCAACGAAATTTTGGAAACCATTTAATATCAAGAAAATCTACTTTCCGCTGGCCTACAAGGTCACCTGACTTGATTGCAGCAGATTTTTTATGGAATTATATTAATCAAGAGATGTACAAAATAAAACCCAGAAATCTGACTGAATTGAAGCAGTCAATTAAAATTATAATTAAGGTAAAATTGCTTATTAGTTTGTTGCTAAAAAATATAACATATATAATATACATTTTTAACAGAGATGAATATTGAAACCTTTTCAAACCGAAAATTTGTATTGTTGTATTTAACGCCGAAAAGTATGCTACATTTGAAGCATGGGGTAAGCATAAAATATTGTACAATATTATTGAAATAACACAACCATGTGGTTCTGCAGCTGTACCCARTCAGCCATTTTGTTTTAACTGCGACACCAAACCTTAAGTATTGCATATTTACAATTAGTACGTGCTTTTGGAGATTATATTCGTCTAAATTAATAAAAGTATGTGAAATCGAAATGGAAACA